ACCCCACCCTACCCCCATCCTTTCTTCCTTCCTTTTCTGCAAGGAGCAAGTGAAGGAAAAGTAACTCATAGTAAGTAAAAAAGGGTTTCTCCTCAGGAAACAGAGTTGTTTCAGGTTCAGGATTCAGCATAGAATCAATCTTAGCTGAAGAGCAGGGGGAGGGAAACAGGATTTACCAGGCACTTTTTCCGATGTCTGTGACCTCCAGGGCTTACCATTCTTGTTGATGTTGTTTTTTGACTTGTAGTTTTCTAATGTTTCCCACTAAATCGATTATTGCCTTTAGAAGTAATTTCATGGCTTTTAGAGTACTATAGCTTTATCTTTCTAACCTTCATGCTGCTGTGAAAGATTGGTCTCATTTCTTGTTAATTCTGATTCTTCTTTGAGGTTATGCTTTCCTTCTCCAAGGGAATCATCAGGTATGGTTTTATTAGTCGTACACATCATGCCACCTCTGGGGAATTTGTACGGCTAATTCATCTTTCCTGACAATTGCCTAAATAAATGGTAGCCAGAGCACTTGTTTTATTTCTGTGAACTTATTTTATTGCTTGCCACCTTTCACAGCAGTGAGCAAGCAGTCATAAAGACCAAATAGACAAGGATTTTCTTTTTCCAATATTATATTTAATGGTCAGTTTTAAATCATTTTAGTTGCAAAACTTTTTAAAGAATAGTTTAACCCTACATTTTTTTTAATCTGACATATTCATTTCTTCTTGTATTTGGCAACAAAGGGTAATGGAAGAAACAACTCACTAGTATTAGAGTCTACATTCTGGTCCCAGCCCTATACATGACCTCACACAATTTACTTAAGTCCTCCAAGCCTCGGTTTTATAATCTATAAAATATAAGAACCGACCTCTGAAGTTGGCCTAAGTTTTAAGATTCTGTTTCCAGTAAGAAAAGATATCGCCCAATTGTCAAATGTTTAAATACCAACAAGTTCACCCAAGAGTAGATATTACCTTCCATTTATTAAAATAATGTCGAAATGTCTCAGGTTTTTTGTTTTTTGTTTTTTTAAGATTTTATTTATTTATTTGACAGAGATCACAAGTAGGCAGAGAGGCAGAGAGAGAGAGAGAGGGGAAAGCAGGCTCTCCGCTGAGCAGAGAGCCCCGATGCAATCTCAGGACCCTGAGATCATGACCTGAGCCCAAGGCAGGCCTATTAACCCACTGAGCCACCCAGGCGCCCCTAAATGTCTCAGTTTTTTCAAAGATCTTGTTATGAAATACTCTTCTGCAAATACATAATTAACAGTAGACTAACAGAAACCAGAATCACAAAAGGTTACAAAGTTTGGAATAAGGTCTTCAAGTAAGTTAGTAATTAGATATTTTTTCATTCTTCCTACAAAAATCAGCCTCCAGAGCCTAAAATATTTACTATCTGGCCCTTATCAAAAAAAGTTTTCCAGCTCCTACAATTAATAAACAAATGAGAGAGAAAGGACTAAGGGGGAGAAGAGTACATCACCCCAAAATATGCCACACTGGCACATGGATTGCTTTGAAACAAAGGCAACTAGGACCCAGCAGACTCAGGAAAGTTTATTTTGTTGTTGTTGTTTTTAACCTCTCCTTTAACTGCCTAAGAGAATTTTTAGAGGCCCCATACCAGGAAGAGCTATTAACCCCAGAGATGACTTTTAATATCAGGAAGACTTATCCGCATGGCAAGACAAACTTTTGTTTACCACACATTTGCATTTCTCATTTTCCTATGAATTGTCTTCCAGGCCTTTGAAGCCCCACCCCCCAACCCCCTTCTCCTTAGCTCAGGATAATACATAAACTTCAATTAGCCTGACTATCCAGGAGTCTCTCATGTCTTTGGTGCTTTTATACTATATGAAATTAAATTTGTTTTTCTTTTCCTTTGTAAATCTGTCTTATGTCAATTTAATTATTAGAGTAGTCAAAGAACCTAGGGAAGAAGATAAAAATTTTCTACCACTGCAGGATAAACCTTCCTTACAGAAGCATTCCAAAGACTAAATATAGAAGTGTGAGAAATAGAAAATCACCATTAGAACACAACAGTGATAATTACAGCAAACAAGATTCACTGACAGATGGCAAAATTTTAAGGTAAAACAGGATAATTGCATAGTTACAAAATACCCTCCCCATACATATTGTTATGGTCATTTTAACACATACACAAAATTTTGATATTCCTCCCTCCAGAGAATTGAGTTCAATTCTACTTTTTTGTATGGGCCAGATTTAATGACTCAGTTGGAAACATAGGAAAATAATATATAAGAAAAGAAAACTGTGACTTCACAGTGGAGAAAGCTGGTAGATACAATCTCAAACAAGTAATAAGATTGAGTTTACATTGTGCATATTGGTATCATGTACCTTTGGTAGGAGGCAATGAGAAGGGCATTTCATCTGTGTGGTATTCTTCCCCAAGACACAGAATCTCAGTGTAATCTAAAAGAAAGAAAGAAAGAGAGAAAAAAGCTCATAAATACAGAAATAGATTAGTGGTTTGGTTGCCAAGCTGGTGGGTCAGAGATGGATGAAATAGGTAAAAGGAGTCAAAAGGTACAAACTTCCAGTTACAAAATAAGTTATGGGGATATAATGTATAACATGGTGACTATAGATGATAATATTTATTGCATATTTCAAAGTTACTAAGAGTAAATCTTAAAAAGTTCTTACTCCAAGAAAAATAAATACTTTAGCAACATATGGCAACAGATGTTAACTAAACTTATTGTGGTTATCATTTTGCAATATGTACAAATATTGAATCACTATGTTATACACCTGAAAGGAACATAATATTGCATGTCAATTATACCTCAATTTTAAAAAGTTTAAAAAAACATTAAATAGGGGCTCCTGGGTAGCTCAGTTGGTTAACTGTCTGACTCTTGATTTTGGCTCTGGTCATAATCTTGGGGTCATGGTATTGAACCCTGCATCAGGCTCCATGCTCAGCATGCAGCCTGCTTGTCCTTCTCCCTCTGCTCCCCCTGCTGCTTGCTCTCTCTCTCGCTCTTTCTCAGAGAAATAAAATCTTTAAAAAATTAAACATGAGAATATTGTGTAATTTGCCATTTTAAAATATATAAGGTTCATAAACATTTATACTTCAGCTAAAAGTTGAAGTATATTACCTACTATGATTTCATCAATTTATAGACTAATGCAAATTTACCATCAAGTATTTTAAAATTCTAGTTCAGACCAATAAGGAAGCAAATTTTGATGGCACAATAACACCTTATTTGATTTTTTTTGTTATTGTTGCCTCTTAATACATAATCTTTAATTTAAAAAAAAATTAACAATCCCCCTCAAAAAAATGCTAGGAAAGGACAGGGATGTGAATCTCATTGTTGACAAAATAACAGAACAGATTAGGGATTGCGAAGAGTAGCCTAGGTCAAACAGAATGCAGGAAAATGTGGAGAAAGGATGCCCCCAGCTGTGTGTCCTTGACACTGCTGATAGAATACACTTCTCCAAATAAGTGTCTCATTTTGGATAAAGAAACCAAAAGTTATTTCTTTACAATAAGGGAAAAATAATAAGTAAGCAGGGAAGCAGTGAGAGCCTTCAAATACTTCATTTGGTAGAGGGCAAGGGTGAATGGGGGAAAAAACTGATACATTATTTTTGAACCCTGCTTCTTTTCCTAAATGTGGGTGATTTAGGTATTCATTTGTGATAATTCACTGATCTGTATATTTGTTAGGTACCTCTTCCTAATGATATACCTCCATAAAAATAATTGATGAGGGGACTTCAACTTCTATTTATTGACTTCTGCAACCCAAAGAGAGAGGATGAACTTTCTATTCCGTTACTATAGCTACATAACAAATTACTCCAAACAACTACTTACTATCTTCAGAGACGTGTACATCAGGAATTCAGACAAAGCATAGCAGAGATGGCTGTGTGCTGCTCCACAGTGTTCCGGTCTTCAGTGATGCGTCTCCAAATCTGGGGCAGGAATAACCTGATGACATGTTCACTCACGTGTCTGGAAGTTGATGCTGGTTCACAACCAATTAGAGGATATTCGAATGGACATAAGAGCTCCATCTGTCAGAGCAACGAAACACCAAAAAAGAACAAGGAATATGAAAGATACCTATGAAGAAAAATTTAAAGTTTTAATGTGGATATCAATCAATAGAAAAATACATACTACATTTCTGAGTTTAAAAAAATAGTGAAGAATACAAAGATTTTAATTGTCCCTATGTTAATTTGTAATCTTAATGTGATGTCAATAAAATAAAAACAGGATTCTTTTTTTTTCTGGTAAAGCAAGCTGATTCAAAGGCAAATTGCGTTAGCTGTTCCGCAAGTTTTGACTGGACTCAAATCACATTTGCCACTTTCACAACCAGCCCAAGCCCCCATCAGCTGTCATTTCGGCTACTGAAATAGCCTACCTTGGCTGCCTTTCCATTCCGGCCCTCCTCTCCCTCATTCCCCTGCCCCCCACCCATTAATCAAGTCTCTAAAACAGTGTTCCTTTGATAATATCAGTCAAATCCCAACTTTCATTCACCTGTTCCAAAGGCTTTTTCATGCACTTAGAACATGATCCAAAATTCTTAACATGGTCTGAAGGCATTCTAGTACCTGGATCTTTCTCTGACCACATTTCCTACCAGTGCCCTACTTACTAACTCCTCCATTTTTTCGGCTTTTCCACTTTTCTCCAGTCACATTCCACAAACAAGCTTTTCAAGCTCCAGCCTATCAGCCTTTACACTCCGTGTTCTATCTGCCAGTCATACTCTATGGAATCACCTTCATTCCTCCTCAAAGACACTGTCACTGAAACTCCTATAAAAACCTGGGTGTGTATACTGTTTTGGTTTCCTCCTATTATAGATTGATCTGTTTGGGGGCTGTTGTTTTTCTCTACTAGGAGGTGCATTTCCACAAAAATAGAAACTCCTGACCACTTAAAAACTGGACAGCAAGTGTTCAATAAATATTGAAATGAATGAGTAGAGTCAGAATCATGCTGAAAATTAGCATATCACAAGAACAACAATGTAACCCTAAGCCAGCATGACATAGGTAAAGAGCTCAATCAATGAAACATACTCTAAGGACCAGAAGCTGATCAAATACAATGCCATTTAGTATAAAAAAGAAAAAAAATTCAAATGAGAAGAAAGGTTATTTTGTAATTATTGGCATTTCAATAAAATGAATATCCAATTGGAATAAGAAAATAAAATTAAGCAGAAGTCTTACCTTATAACTTAAACTCCAGATGAATTAAGTATTTAAATATAAAAAAGGACACCCAGAAATACTAAAAAAATTCTACCCATGGTAGAATTTAAAAAATCATCTGAAAAATGGGATGAGTTTTATAACTATGGCATGAAGCCCAGAAACCATTTTTAAATGTTGAAGACTTTGACTACAAAGAAAATTTTTAATATTTTAATTTAAAAAATCACTTTTTAAAAAAGCAAAGGAGGGAAAAAAACATTTGCAACTGATATCACACACAAATTGCAAATTTTCTCAAAATAGGATCACTTCCTATAAATATGGAAATGACAAAAAAAACAGTAGAAAAATTAGCAAAATATGTGAATAGATATCATACTGATTTAAAGAATTCTTAAATAGGGACTCCAGGGTGGCTCAGTCTGCCTTCAGCCCAGGCTGTATCCCAGGGTCGGGGGACTAAGCACTGCATGGAGACTAGCATCAAGCAGCCTCCCTCCACCCCTGCTTCTCCCTCAGCCCTCCACCCCTGGCCCCCTCCACCCCAGCTTGTGTGCACTCTCTCTCTCTCTCAAATGAGTAAATAAAAATCTTTTTTAAAAAATAATTCTTAAATACATGAAAATACGTTCAATAGCATTCAAAGAATGCAATTCAGCTGACAATGAATGTTATTATTTACCTTTATCAATGGAAAGCACTAAAATAAAAAAAAAGATGCCACACTGACTGAAAGGGTAGGTATAAGATATCAGACAAACTCATACACTGCTATTAGAAGCATAAATTGTAATGGCTTCCATGGAGAATGTTTATCAGTTATCTACTGCTGCTTAACAAATTGCCCTAAAACCCAGAGGTTTAAAATAACAATAAACATTTATTTTGTCTGACAACTTCTCTGGGAGCAGTTTAGGCTGGGAAGTTCTGGCGCAGGGTCGCTTGTGAGGCGGCAACCAGGATGTTAGTCAGGGCTGCAGTCATTTCAAGGCTGGATTAGGTAGGGCTGGGTGATCTACTCCTACAGGGATTCGCACAGCTAGCTAGCAAGTTGGTGCTGATTGTTGGTGGGAATCCTCAGATCCTCCATATGCAAGCCTCTCCCTGGGACACTTGAGGGTTCTCATGACATGGCAACTAGAGTTCCCTAGAGCCAGAGATTTAAAAAAAAAAAAAAAAAAAAAAAAGGTAGGTAACTGCTATGTCTTCTATGCCCCAGCCTCTGTAGTCACATATCATTTCCCTAATAGCCTATTGGTCACATGGGTCAGCATTGTTCAATGTGGGAGGGGGCTATACAGGAGCATCTATTTCTGAGAAAAAGATCACTGGGGATCATTTTGGAGACTGACTGCCACAGGAAACAAGTTGAAAAATATTCTTCAAAATGCAAATTTTAAATCAATTCTGAAACCATAGTCCCACTTCTAGTTATCCTTTAGATATGCACTCTGATGTAGAAAAGGATATATTCATTTCAGCACTCTTTAGCAGTCACAGAAAAGTGAAATAATCTAAATGTTTATCAATAGGAATCTTATTAAATAAATTATAATGCATCCATACAAGGTGATATACATGTATCTTAAAGGAATTGTAGGCCACGGATAGGATCCACAAAAAGGAAGGGGGAAAAAAAAGTGGTGATTGGGATGACCAGAGAGGGAAATTTATTTTTCAATGAGTTCTCTTTTTTATCTTTAGTATTTTATAACCAAGTACAAGAATTATCTACTTTGAAAAAGTGGGGGAAAAAATACATAACTGTTACAGTTTCTATAAAACTAATTCCCCAAACAAATGTGAGTTGGGCTCCACCAAGCCTTCATGGATTTTTATTTTGTCTTTTTGTGATATATTAATCAATTTGCTACCACCATCATCTTTGTTTGGACTTTCAACCCAGTTCTTCTTTGGGATTTCAACTTGAGTGTACTGATTACCTGGCTTATATTGTATCCCTCAACATTCCTAAGCACAATATTAAACACAGAGAAAGTATTCAATACATATCTGCTTACATCAGAGTTTCATTAACATTTTAGGCCAGATAATTCTTTGTTAGAAGGGGCTGCCTTGTACACTGTAGGATGTTTTAGCAGCATCGCTGGCCTCCATCTATCAGATGCCAGCAGCACACTCTAAATTATGACCAAAATGTCTCTGAACATTGCCAAATGGTCCCTGAAAGGGAAGAATCATCCCCAGTTGAGAGCCATTGGTTTAAATAATGACATATACAGTCTTGAGGTGTAGTTACAGAACTTGAAAACAGATTTTAAAGCAATATTTAGTACATATTTTCTATTACAATATAAAAATTTGATATAAAAGAAATATAATACCTTATATACTATACACTAAACAAAGACTAATATTTTTTTGGTTTTTTTTTTAAGATTTTATTCATTTATTTGACAGAGAGAGAGAACAAGTAGGCAGAGAGACAGGCAGAGAGAGAGGGGGAAGCAGGCTCCCTGCCGAGCAGAGAGGCTGATGCGGGCCTCGATCCTAGGACCCTGAGATCATGACCTGAGCCGAAGGCAGAGGCTTAACCCACTGAGCCACCCAGGCGCCCCAAAGACTAATATTTAATACTTTTGTCATTATTCATTTATTATTCTAAATTATTCCTTATTTTACATCCAGAATTGACCTTGCATAGGAAAGTAAAGAATTCAGAACTCCTCATTTAGTGAAGCAGTATGATTTGCAACATGATGAGTGACGGCCTATAATGTGAAATACATCATTTTCCTTTCCCTTTCTTCTAGATGACTAAACGATAGAAAAAAATTGATTATCAGTATACCAAGGGTATGATTTGGAGTAAATATTCCATTCTTTGATACAGATCACTTCATCAAATAGGGATTAAAACTATATAAAGATTAATTATTCTAACCAAAGACTTAGTTCTGGATGATTTCTTTTAATTGATAACCAATGGTTTACAAACTAGAAATTATCATCTGTGAAATTGGATAAAGAGCCTCACAGTGAGAATGACAGACAGAGTAACACTGAGGATATCTAAGATAAATCATTGTCATCTTACAAACAGCATTATTGGGGATAAAAGGCCTCCATAACACATGAGTAAAGGAATTGCCAAATCTTTTCCTATCTTTAAGATTATCATTTTGTCACTCAAAGTATCTGTGGCATTAAGAACATTTCCCATCTCTTCTACTCAACTTATTTTCCACCTTTTGTGTTGATTCTACCAAAAGGAGAAAAAAGAAAAGAAGAAAGGGGTGCTTGGGTGGTTCAGTTGCTTAAGCCTGACATAAAAAAGAAAAAGGAAGGGCACCTGGGTGGCTCACTTGGTTCAGTGACTGCCTTCAGTTCAGGTCATGATCCTGGGGTCCCTGCTCTGCAGGGAGTCTGCTTTTCCCTCTGACCCTCCCCCTTCTCATACTATCTCTCTCTCTCTCTCTCTCTCAAATAAATAAATAAAATCTTAAAAAAAAAAGGAAGAAGGGAAGGGAGAGGAGAAAGGGAGCAAAAGAATGGAAGATTTTTCTGTGATAGAATAAAATTGTTACAAATCTCTAGTCTACAAGATAAAATTAAACTAGTGGCTTAATTTTGTATTTTCTTTTCCTTTAATTCCATGAAAACTTAGCCAACATCTATAAAGACCATTTTTGGAAAATACTTAAGAAATTTAGTTCTCTAAAGCTTTTATTTCCATACTGTAGTTTTAAATCTAAAGGTATTTTCAGCTTTTAAAAAAATTTTTCTCAAAATAATCTGACTAGAGCACAAAATATGAACAACAGGTACTGTTTTTAATTCTGACTCCATCTTATTTATACCATCACTGAATA